CGCTGTACTCAAATACGAAGGTAAGGGTGCAAATCAATGGGTTGGTGGGGGGGGGTGTCAACATGGAGCGGGGTCTTCGGCAGGGATGGTCCTTATCACAAATATTGTTTGCATGTGTTCAGGATCCCTTTTATAGGATGGTGGAGGATCGTCTAAGGCCGGGGGGGAGGGATGGTGAGCTGAAGCCGTGGCCTGGTTTGGTGGGCTATGTTGATGATACCACTATTTGGCAAGTGAGGAGACACGGTTAGGACTTTTGGGGGAAGTTGTACACACTTTTGGGAGAGCTACTGGGATGAAGGTAAATCTGGAAAAGTCAATGATCATGGGGCTGGGAGAGTGGACAGAGAGATTAGAGTGGGGATGTGATGTTGTGCAGCGGAGGACCGGGAGTCTGAAAATCTGCGGTGTCATGTATGAGGCTGACCTGAGTGCTGCAAGGGTTAGCAATTCGAATAGGATGGTGGAACAGGTGCAGCGACGGTTGGGAATGCTGCGACCTCACCATTTAACCTTAGGCAGCGTGTAATTGTCATCAATGTATTACTATATAGTAAAGTCTGGATTGTTTCGGCTGTGATGCCGTTAACAGGAACGGCGATCACGAGTATTCTTAGAATGGTGTTCAAATTTTTGTGGGGTTCAGGGTGCAACTGGTTGCGAAGGGAGGTAGTGACATTGCCGGTATGTAGGGGAGGGTTGGGTTTGTTGGACTTGAGAAAGCGCGTGAAATGTGTGTTTATTAAGAGGGAAGTGATGAGTGCAGGTGGATGGAGGGAGGGTCAGCTAGATAAGGTACATGCTCACCTGAGGAAATGGTATGGAGGGGCGGAAATGAAGGAATGCGAGACAGTGTTACGCGCCTTAATGTTAGCCAGGGAACCAGGAAAAGTAAAGGTGGGAACTTTGTGTAAATTGTTAGAGAGACATGTAGTGGCGCCGGTTGAAGGGTCTACCCCATGTATGCATGGGATGTAATATGGCGAAGGTTTAGTAAATTAAGGATACGACCTAGGGCGCGTGAGGTTATGTACCGTTTCCTGCATGGGATTTTGCCAACGGGAGCGATGCTCCGAGACAGGAGGGTTATTGAGGGTGGGGGGTGTGGCAGATGCAGTGGGGAAGAGACTGCGTATCATGTCGTCTATTTTTGTGAAGGTTTGGAGTGCATCAGGGTATGGATGCGTAAGGTAGTGGTGAGGGTGGGGGGCCAAGGTGTGGCGGTATTGCGAGCGTTGAGTCTTGATATGAGTGGTGTGGAGGAGAGTGTGGTTAAGAGGTTTAGCATATGTCATCGTGGACTACATATATGTTTTATGGGGTATGAGGGGGAAGGTGGGTGGGGATGTGCTGAGAAGGACTTTGGCGGCGACGTTTTATCGAACTTTGTGTCGCAACAGAGACATTTTTGGGAAAAGGTGGGAAGAGTATTTTTCTGAAGGTTATAGAGGACTAACAATAGGGAATTTATTGGCGTTATAAGGGGCTTTAACTGCCGGGGTGAGTGGGTTGGTAAAAGGGGGGGGGGGGTTCAGGGGATTTCAACGGGCTCACCTCCTTGGGAATGCAGTGATGTGGTTGGGTGTGATTGGAGGTACTAGTGTGTGACCAGATGAGAGGTTGTGCAGATAAGTTTTGCTTAGTTCCTTGATGGGGAAGGTGTAAGGAGCAAATTAAATATATAACATGTATTAATGTATAACCTATAAATTATATAACATGTATATTTCTTTGGTAGCGTATTATGTTCCACTTGCACTGGTATTGCAATTGAATTTGAATTTTCTTGAGAGGGTTTTCCTTTCACTATTTCCTTGAAGCACTGAGTTATTTTTGTTTTATTGTAACGTGGTCCAGCATCAGTTTTGGTAGTAATTACCTATTATTATTGTTCTTATTTAAGGTATTGTAATTTTGGTAGTCCTGTACCATTCATGGTTGTAAATAATGCTTCCTCAAGTGACATGTGTCATAATAATCCTAAATTGAGGATAATTAATGTCATGATTATTCAGGTTGGTGATAGGGTTAGTTTTCAATGTGTGTACGTGAGTGGGGGGGGGGATGATGGGTCACCTGTGTTGCAGCACAGGTTCTTAATAAGGCATATTGTAGGTCTGGTGTATTTGTTGAGAGTGGTATTATGGGTGATTGTCATTAAGCTTGGAGCATTATTGTGTTGAGGTTGTAATTTTAGGAGTTTTATTAATAGCCATTTTGTGGCCTTTGTTATTATAACTTTATTCCTTCTTAAATTGTGATATGTTATAAAAACTTGTATATAGTAGACTGTCAGATGTTGCCTGGATTGTTTTGTGTTTATATATTGTTTTACTGATGTTGTCCTTGATCATTTTTTTATATATGTACCTATTAATATCTGTACATGAAGTTTTTAAATAAAATATAAAAAAAAACTCAGGATCATTGATCTCTGGAAATTATCATTGTGCATGAAGCGTCGAACTCTTTGTTGGAGGATCATCCTGACCTTTGGGTTCTGTGGGGAGGTGTGTTGATGATGCAGTCGGTGATGGCAGTAGGTGTAAGGAAACATGCCCAAAGTTTCCACCCGGCTAAGGTTCATATTACGAGCAATCAGTATGTGAGCTGACTGCAACGGATTTGCAATGGGGAAGATTGTGTCTTTTGTGTATGTCTGAGTGTGTGATTGCACTTTTTCTTGTTTGTATGTGTGAATATGCACGTATGAATATGTGTGTTTGTAAACGCACATGTGTTTGTGTGCATCTGGGTTTATGTTTAGCAGTATGAATGTGTGTACTCACCTAGTTGTGGTATACCTGGAGTATATCTAGTTGCATGGATCGATTCAAAGCTCTTTACTCCTCCTCTTGACTGGTCGATACTAGGTTCACTTTTTCCTTTCTCCACGCGCTTTATTGAACCTCTTCATAAACCTATGTATGGATCCTGCCTCTACTACATTGCTGGGCAGATTGTTCCACTTCCCTACAACTTTATTACTAAAGAAATATGTCCTTATATCCTTGTGGCCCATCTGAGTATTCAGCTTTTAGCAGTGACCCCTTGTTGCTGTGTCCTATCTCTGAAACATTCGGTTGCTATTCTCCTTGTCAAATCTTGTCGATATGATGTGTGTTGTTATCATGTCGTCCACAATTCCTCCTGCCCTCTAGCGTCGTCAGATTGATTTCCCTTAAACCTTTCCTCATAGTTTCCCATAGTTCCGAGAATAGTCTTGTTACAAGCCAATGCACTTTCTCTAATTTATTGACGTGCTTGACCAGGTGTGACTTCCATACTTGTGCTGCAAATCCATTATGGATCTGACATACACAGTTTACATTGTCTTGAATGACTCGTTACTTAGATGTTGAAACAATATTCTTAGGATTGCCAGGCACCCATGTGTTGCAGCCGCTATTAGGTTCATGTGAGCTTTAGGAAATGTGCTCGGTATGATGCTCACCCCAAGATCTTTTCTTTAATTGGGTTTTGCAGCCTTTGACCTCCTAGTCCGTACTCCATCTGCGGTCTTCTTGGTCCTTCCCCAAACTTTACGACTTTTCACTTGCTGGGGTTAAACTCCACAGGGTTAAGCTTCAACCAGGATTGCAGTCTGTCCAGATCTCCTTGTAGGCTTACCTGTTCCTCATCCATTTGTATTATCCTTATTAGCTTCACACTGTCTGAGATAAGGAACACTTCCGACTCTATCCCTTCTGTCATGTCATTCACATATACTAGAAACAGCATCGGACCTAGGACTGACCCTTGTGGAGCACCACTTGACACATGCACCCACTATGACACCTCGTCACTTACTAACACACGTGCATGTTTCTGTTTGCTGTACAGTTGTTCAGATAATGAGAGTATTTTTAATTAGAAATTCTTCCCTTAAAGTTGCAGGTTTAGCCTAACATGGTTTACATAAACCTGTAGGAATACATTGATCGTACAAACTGAAAAATATCTGATCTCTTATTTAAACAACATAAGCATTGGTATTAAATTTAAATTTGCTTACGAAATATACATATATCTTTATTTATTGATGAAGCGTCATTAAAACAATTTATAATTTGAAATACAAGCTTTACTTGAAGTTATGCATCAATGTCCATTTAATCAGCCACTTTACAAAGACTGATAGTCTCTCTAAATTTTTTCCCTAAAGTTGGCTGTCTGCGAGAAATGCGTCAGTCTCAGATTTGACGAACATAAGATAAAGCCTCCACACCTCTGAGTATTAAATGGCCCACGGGAGCTAAGCACTTCGAATAAATATATAAGTAATCTTTAATTTTCCATTGAACGTAAAGTACATGATAACTAGAATCTGGTAACAAAGAAATGAAAATCAATCTATATTTCTACTGGTATTGCATTATCTCATTCATTTTAAAATTTTCGTAAGACAGAATTTAAGTAAATTAAAGTTCTCTCTTCTATGTCCTAAATATGAGGTAATTAACAGGTAATTGGAGGGATAGGGTTCGACATTCTTGCCAAAAATAAAAAAAAGAAATTAGATCATGTTTCTATATGAGTAGAAACCTTATACAGAAAATGATTAGCAAATACAGGTACCTACTTAAAAAATAATCAAATGTGGTTTTTTCCGTAAACTTTGGAGACTTTTCATTTCCAGGCGAGTTTACCTTTGAAATATTTCTAATCATAACAAAGAAAAAAAAAGGTGAACTGTGATGCAGTTTTCAAAAACGAAAATATTGCAACAAGAAGGATAAATGTTTCAAACCTTTCAATGTTTTACCCTGATTTTGTGCCACAAACATAATTAAGAAAAATAACCTCTTTGTCTACAAAAGTAACCATTTAAACTACAATGATTGATTAAAATCTATTCATTCAACCTCTCCATCAATCTATATATGTATCTAACTTATATTTACATTTTTTTTGAGATGTTTTGAAACTCTCTTCTTTTCTTTTAGACTTCCTGAGAAAAAAATTGTGCAGACTTTAATATATCCATTTTCTGACCTCAGTTACACTTATGTTCGCCCCCCTGATGGATTCTTTGGAACGAGTCTTGGCAACGGTTCATGGTCTGGCATGGTGGGAATGGTGATGAGAGAGGTGGGGAGTCGGGGAAGGAAGTGCTGGGAGGAAAGTGAGTGTAACGACAGTAGTGAAGAAAAGAAAGTGTAGCGTGAAAGATGAGTGTAGTGAGGATGGTGACGAAGTTCAGCGTAAGGATGAAGGAGAGTGAAGTGCAGTGAGGATATTGAAAATAGAAAGACAGGAGATTGTTTTGAAGATTGTAAATTTATGGCGAAAATGAGAGTATTGATGAAGATGAGGGAGTGGAGCACAACGGAGGCTGTAGTAGAGGGGAGTTCAAACTTCAGAGGGAAGTGAGTGTACTGGAGAGATGAACATTCTGAGGGAGAACACTGTAAGAGAGGTGAGTATTTCAGGAAAGTTGAGCCTTCTAAGGTAAGAAAATATCCTTAGTGAGGTACTGAGAAACGGGAGTGTAGTGAGAGACCTGAGTGTACTAAGGTTAGTGAGCGTACCTTGAGGATTGTTGTGAGGAAGCTGACTGTTCTCAGGTATTAGAGTGCAATACTATTGTTCAGTGCTAATCTTGACTATGACTTAGGGTCAAAATAAATACAATAATTATTTTTTTCAGTATTTGTTGAATATAAATGGATTTTAAGCTAACAATCAAGAACTGGTAATGCTAAGCAGGTTACTGTCCTTAGCGTCACGTCTAGGAGACCTCAGCTGTATAAGAGTAACCTTGCCAGAACAATAGTTATTTAATTATTTCTGTGATTACCCAAAAATAATTAGTGTCATTAAAATTAATGTTTTTAAAGAAAGAGGCTACTCTCGGTTTGGTTTTTAGTGTGGCATGTCATTTTCCTATAAAAATAAGAATGTAGCCTGACACCAAACCAAAACCAGCATACAAGCAACACCTAAATTAGAGGGAACCACATCACTTTATAAACACCACCACGTTGAACCGGACCTTTTACAAATATTACTTAACTCGAATTTATATATATATTAAAATATATATATTTTATATATAATATATATATATATATATTATATATATATATATATATATTATATATATATATATATATATATATGTCGTCCCGAATATGTAAAACTGGTCAATTAGCAAGAACTCATTTAAATTAAGTTTTTTCAAAATTTTCTCTTATACGTTTAAAGATATATTTTTTCATTAATGTTGATGTAAAAATTTATAATTTTGCCACCAAAAGGAACTTAAAAAAACTTACCTAACCTTATTATAACAAAAACAATTTATTTTAGCCAAACCCCAAAACTAAATATATTTTAGATTGTTTACAATAATTTAATACTAAAAAACAGTGAAATATATTTTTTTCGTTAGGTTCAGAAAGATTTTGGGGGAAATTATTGCATACACAAATTTTCACTTGTCCTATATGGCAAGATGAGCGTTGCTATTTAAGCCAAGATCGCAAGTTCTGCCTATTCGGCACGACATATATATTAATTTTATAAAAATATATATATATATATATATATATATATATTTATATATATATATATATAGATAGATATAAGTAGTGCTGAAGGCGGCTTTAGCGGTCTCTGCGGCATGAGCGGTCCATGCGCTGAGCGGGCCATGCGGTTGACGGTCCCTCCTGAAAAAGGGGTGCGGCTGAGCGCTGTATTCCTGAGCGGTCTCCTTTTCACACCTTTATGCTAATGACCTTGACCTCGCCCTCGAGACCACCTCACCCTCGACCACCTCGCCCTCGACCACCTCGCCCTCGACCACCTCGCCCTCGACCACCTCGTCCTCAACCACCACCCACGCCCCCCCACCTGAGCCCCCCACCCGCCCTGCCCTCGCGCCGACCCAGCCGCCCACCGCGCCCTCGCGCCCGCCCGCGCACCTCGCGCCCGCGCCCCTCGCGCCCGTCCGTCGCGCCCGTCCGCGCCTTCTGCAGCGCCTTCTGCAGCGTCGTCCGGATCGCCCCCGCTCCCCGACTTTTTTTCCAATTTTTTTCACATTTTTTTTGAATTTCATTTTCTTGTGCTCTCCATCTACTCGGATCAAATTTTTGAGGTTCCCCCTCCCACTTTCACCCCCATCCAAATTTTTTTCGATTTTTTTTTTTTGGATTTCATTTTCTTATGATCTCCTCGGATCAAGTTTTTTGGATTCCCCCCTCTGGGGGTAAGCATTCCAAATGGACTCCCACTTTCACCCCAAATATTCCTCCTCCATCTCCTTGGATCACGTTTTTCTCGATAATACAAAGACTCCATCTCCTTGGATCAAGTATTTCTCGATACCAACTTTTTTGAGGGTCTCCTTCCCACTTTCACCCCCATCCCAAATTCTTTTCGAATTTCTTATGATCTCCATCTCCTCAGATCAAGGTTTTTGGGTTCCCCCCTCTGGGTACCCCTCCCACCACCCACTTCCACCCCAAGTTCCCTGCTCCAATTCCTCGGATCAAGTTTTTCTCGAAATCAAAGACTCCATCTCCTCGGATCAAGTTTTTTGGATTCCCCCCTCTGGGGGTAAGCATTAAAAATGGACTCCCACTTTCACCCCAAATATTCCTGCTCTACTTCCTTGGATCAAGTTTTTTGGATTTCCCCCTCTGGGGGTAAGCATTCAAAATGGACTCCCACTTTCACCCCAAATATTCCTCCTCCATCTCCTTGGATCAAGGTTTTCTCGATAATACAAAGACTCCATCTCCTTGGATCAAGTTTTTGGATTCCCCCCTCTGGGGGTAAGCATTCAAATGAACTCCTCCTATGGGGTACGGTACTTTCTCTTACTACAGGTCTAAACAATTGTGACGTCACCCCACCTGTGTTTACTCGGCGGTCAGTGACGTCACGTGATGACCTCACACATACAGGCTGAATCTTGTCGACTTCCCCCTATGTCAGTGACGTCACGTGATGACCACACACACAGGCTGAATCTTGTCGTGCAGACAATAACTTAAAATGCAGGATAACACTATTTATTATACAACCAATGCATTTCATATACATCCAACAAAAAAAAAATTCATTGAAAAAAGGTACAATTCATTGACTAAAATCAACATATTTTTCTCTTGAAGAAATTCTATGCATTTTTTGTTCTGGATCATCTTCGTCGTCACCATCTCAGTATTACACATTTCATATACAACATAGGGAAAACATTTTCACTCTTAACTCAGGATAACCCAAATAGTTCCACGTTTTTTCGTTAATACCCACAACAATCCATAATTTCTTTACAAAAGATTCACTCTCCTCAAGTCTAGACATTTTTCTCGTTTTAACTATTTCATCTCAGGTCACTCCCCACGAAGTAACCTTCTCTCTCTCCTTCTCCCCACCCTCCCGAACCCTCACACTCCAACCAACACCTCACAATTTTCACTCATAACCCACAATTTTTCTCGTTTTAACTATTTCATCAGAAAAAGTCACCACAACACTTACAACTTATAACCACTTTTCGATTAATTCACTAGTCACAATTTTACATATTACGAAGTTAATACGCACATACACCTCACTTTACTTTGAACACCTTCAAAACACTCTCATAAATCATTTGAATACTCACAAAAATACCTTTGAATACTTCCAATCAACTCTGAAAAACTTCAAAAATATAATTTTGAGTACTCCCAAATACACCATTGAATACTACTAAAACACCACTGAATACAGTCAAAACACCACCAAAATCACCATAAACTAAGATCAACATCACAGACTAACACCAATTTTCACACAAATCCCCTCAAATCACTATAACCAAGACGATTACCAATTTCTATGAGTACACTCACCTCCAACTAAGATATAACATGAGTGCACAAAACATGAACACAATCCAAACACACACGAACACTTATAACAGAATCACTACTTTTTCGGTATCTCTAGTTCGACATCACCCACAACCCACAACACCCACAACCCACAACACCCACAACCAACATCACCCACACCCCACAACACCCACAACCCACATCACCCACAACAACAACCCACAACTTATAACATCTTTTCGGTATCACTAGTTCAACAACATCACCCACAACCCACAACACCCACAACCCACAACACCCACAACCCACAACACCCACAACCCACATCACCCACACCCCACAACACCCACAACCCACAACACCCACAACAACAACCCACAACTTATAACATCTTTTCGGTATCTCTAGTTCGACAACAACACCCACAACCCACAACACTCACAACCCACAACACCCACAACAACAACCCACTTATAACAACTTTTTTGATATCTCTAGTTCGACAACAATACCCACAACCCACAACACCCACAACCTACATCACCCATAACAACAACCCACTTATAACATCTTTTCGGTATCTCTAGTTCGACAACAACACCCACAACCCACAACACCCCACCACCCACAATTTTTTCTCGTTTTAACTAATTTCATCAGAAAAGTCACAACAACCCACAACAACATCCCACTTATAACATCTTTTTCGATATCTCTAGTTCGACAACAATACCCACAACCCTCATCACTTATCAATTTATTCACAATTTTTCCTCTTTCGATGCAAATTTTTCCCCATCTTTTTATTGAATCTTAAAATGTAATGCACATTCCTCCCTACATTACTAAAATTCTAATAAAGTCCTCTCCATACCCATCTCCTTGTATCCACATAAATTAATATTATACTTACAACAACTAATCATCTCACTACCCAACTACTGCGACATGTTTCTACACCCTCCAATCTTTTCCAATGTATCATAACTTTTCACTTCTATAATTTCTTTTATAATATTCACATATTTCCTTTATTTTCAGTAAAATCCCCCCCCCCATATTTCATTAAATTTCTAATACAACCCTCCCCATACCCCTCTCCATCTCACCCACATTTCTTCACATCCACTCACCCATCTCCCAACACACCTCTTCAGAACAAACACAAAAAAATCACATTTCACATCCACAAATGCATCTCATCACCCATCTCAAATCCGCTAAAATCACTGTAACCAAGTTATTCACAAAATTCTATGACCA